GGGCATCTCCAGTCAATATTTAATGACACTGGCTAATAATAACCATCTAGTCAGAGTTAAGTAAACCTTACAACACAAACCACCTTACTACTCTCCTACTCAGCGTGCATTCATACTCTAAAAATACACCCATGTGCAGGTCGGTGTACAAGTAAATTACGACAAATAAAACCGGCAATTCCCCGAAAAACAAATAATTCGAATGATTCCATAGCGGTAAAAATAAGAGCATTTTAGGTTACATTTTAAAGGATTTAAATGAATAATGGGGAAAAATTTAGACGCTCAGCTAGAAATACCATATTATACTGTTTCTGTAGTCCGAACTAAGAATTGAGTTGCTTGAAGACTTTTATTTTTACTATTTACCATGTATACACGCCTCCTCGAAAATGTACATATTTACATAATATAATAATAAATCTACGTACCCTATCTAAACGTTCTTGTCTAAACTTCCTAAAATATCTTATCGCAAACCGGTGACTAAGGTTATCACAAACCATTCTTATATTCAAACATGCTTAACAAACCCAACCAGTATACGAACCACCAATTTTGAATTCACATTGTTATTTGTTATACTTAAATATTATTTAGTCATCTTAAGGTTTGAAACGTAAATCAGGGTATTGCCGTTGGAATGATAAATATTTACTACACTTGGGTCTAAAACAGATTTAGATAGAGAACTCGTAAGCAAAACGTCCTCCGTAGCCAGAAATTTCAAAAAACCGACTTTTAGGTTAACCCGAAAAATTCCAATATGTACCCAACACACACACTAACATACTCGCAAACCACACAACTCACCAGAGACATGCCGCCACGGCACCACCGCTTCCATGTGTGTCGCGCGCCCGCACCTAGCAGCGACTCAGCGACTGTCTGTGTGTCGTCGCGTGTCGCGCCTGCGCTGCGACAGACGACACAGGTGACCGCCCACTGTCCCCGCCCCTGCGACACTCTATTGATATTTCCGACTGTACCGGCCAGCCTCAGCCTGCGACACCCGGGATTCTTTGACGCAGTAGGGATGGGAGTGTTGGTATTTTGGGCGTGTGTTGTATCGAGGTATTTGGGAATGTAGTTTTGGTAAAGTAAACATATTTAATTATTCTCGGAAAGATTGAGTTTGTGAAATTAAGGAGACAAGCTTTATTCATGACATGTAGCCTAATAGAAACTTCAAGCACTTTGAAGTTGGAAACTGTTTGTTGCCTTTTTTTTTCAAATGGCTCTGCCGTTGGAATGATAATAAATAAATAAATAAACACTCTAAAAAAGTTATAAAGTATTCAAGTTATATCAGGTATGATTCTCAGCAGGATTAATTTAGGATGTTGAGTTTGTTCATCTGGGCATCAATTGACGAACTTACCAAAAAGTTAGTAGTCCCGTAAAAATACCAAAGCTTTTGGTAGCTTGGTTGACCGTCCTTTGCGAGAAAACTCTAAAAAGGGGAAGTTCTGACCACCCCTTTCAAAATGAATTAACAATGATTATGATACATTTCCTCTCCATTTCAAATGAATTTTCCTTTCCCACACAAAACAAATGGAATGGACTGCAGATATGCATAAAAACATGTACAATCATAACTACACACTGACAGTAAACCCAAGTAACAATATTTTTACAAGTTTCCACAAAAATACTGTCAAAATGTAGAGCATAAATAATAAAAAAAACATCTTTAAACAATTGTTTATCTTACCAACGTGATCTATCTATTTTTTTTTTTTAGGAATAAAATGCACCCTCCCAGTCTCATGCCAAACCAGCCATTTCAAGGGACTAATCCAAAACCCAACATCGATGCTCCCCTGTCTTTTCCCTGTTATTTAGGTAATTTCAGCAGCTGCACCCCCTACTGTATAGTGTGCATCGGCCTCAACAGGTCGTATGTGTTATTGTTATTGTTACCGTCGTCTGACACGACACAAGTTTTACTAACCTACATCTGGAAGGGAGGGAAGGGGGCATTGATTCTCCCTCCCCCACATTCTCTCTCTCTCTCTCGCCCCCTTCGTCATCCCCACCCTATCATCCCATCCCCACGTGTTTGGGGATGCTGCACCACCGAAATATAAAATAACTTCTGGAGACATCAAGAATATGAACAAATATGTATGATGTCTATATTTGAAGTTATTGCTACATACATAAAAGAAAATAAAACCAAAAAGGTAATTTTTTAGATTGCTGTAATTTACACCCAATTCAACACAAATGCTAGGAATGTCTAATTTGTAAAAAATTATTAATTTCGTCGTATGAGCGGTGTTGTAATAGAAAGATGCGTTTAACATTAATTAATCGAACACATGAATTTTGCAATGTATCCACAATCAATGTATCAAAATAAATTAATCCGTGCCTTGAACACACTGTACAGAGTTTAGTAAATTTAATATATCAGTAACACAAAGTTCGGTAACATTTACATTGCTATTATTTTTAATACGAGTTAAAAGTAAAACATCTTATTATTTTACAAACCCTCCTAAATGGTTCACGAAGTATCCAAAGAGATTTCACAGAATGTATTACGTTTAAAAACTTAAATAAAATCTGAGAACTTACATGTATACGTATGATTTAACATAACACAAAAACAAAACATATAAAACAACATATAAAACATATAACAAACATATTGAAAACTAACGGTGTACTTAGGTTTCTAGTGACTTTAAAACGAAAAAACGCACAATCGTCCCTTACCATGAATGCTAAAGCATCAGCTACCCCTTATAAAAATATCTAAACCTCATCAATAACCCATTCAAAATTTCAAAGTACACATTTTTAATCAAATATTTTATGAGCATCTGACGAAAATGCCATCCCTACTAATCTAATACCAAATACAAGCATTTACTCAAGTCAAAACTGACACCTATATATGCCACCTCATAAATATGATATTTTGAGAACCTAATTATATCCAAAACCTCATTAGACCTTGGAGCCAATCAGGAGGTAAAATTATGCATACATAAAAATATGCATTGCAGTCTGCATAACTCTACCGAAGTTAATTATGTGATTAGTGTTATGGTGTTATTGGGACAGGACATAAACATTACAAGATGAGCCCAGTTAATTATCTTTAGCTGATGAATATTTTACTTGATAATGAAGTGTATCATAAAATAGGACACCGCTTCATAATAGAGCCTTGACTATGGTTTTGATTGAGCACACCTAAAAAAATAGATATGTTATTGTCTGGTCTTCTTTTATAGTTTACTAAATTAAATCGACTGTTAGTTACAGGCTTAGTAACAAATATGTGGCATAAGTCAAATTGCTCTCAAATAAGGTCAAAAAGGTTACGGTATGTCTTTACTCTTGAATTAAGCATTTTCATAGTATTTATATAGACTGTTAACACTATTTACGTAGGTATCCATTAAAAAAAATGTTATAGTGCATCAATGAAAAGGTTGTAAATAAAAATAACCTATATTTCAGCATTAGTAGAACCTCAATTACTCGAACCTTAATATCTCGAATTCCCCAATATCTTAATTTTTTTTAAATACCCTTGAAATCCACATTAATCATAATGTTAAAAGTACCTTTATAAGCCGAAGTTTCTAAATATTTAACCTCAATAAGTCGAATTTTAACACCTTTTGAACAGTAGCCTAACATTCTCAGCAACAAGTCAGTTGTGTTTTGATTCCTGTTGATACGTGAAAATCCAACTTCCTGTGTTTACCAAAGTAGTACGTGAAAAACAACGATTTCATTTAAGTAAAAAATCTAATATTTTCACTTGTATCGGTCCATTGTATTGAATAAACTTCTTTAGTTTCCTAGGGATTTTCAGTAGCATTATTATGTTTTTATTTTATGCAAGCACAATGGTGTTGTTACCACCTTTTTATAACTGTTAAATAACAGAAACAATCCACAGACATTAGAAACAGTAAGTGAATTTTTCAATGTAAGTGAAAAAAATGCTTTCTTCTTTGTCTTAGTTTTGTCCATGGCTTGCTTTTGGTTTTGTTTGCAGTGTGCTTTTTGATTTCTGAAAACCTGCATAGGGGCCTATATTACTTATTTATTGTATTGACGATGCCTATTGCATGTACATGCTTAATGTAAAATAATCATTTTCATTTCCATAACCTCTGTAGAAGAGCCATCTATTATATAGGCCTACTCTATTTAATAGTAAGGGAATCTCAAAGTCTATACTGTACTGATTACTATATAACCACTCCAACACACATTATTAATCGGCTATGTTTACAATATTATGTAGGCTACCGATAGCACATGAAAAATTCAATTTTGAACTTTGAGATACCAGTAGATCTACTGTTATAGTATAGTTTTACGCTATTACATTAGGTGAGCCCGTTTTAACTACAGTATTCATTATTCAACAATTAATAGTTGTGTGTACACTGTCAGTTGACATAGCCTTCATGGGCCACTACTAGTTTATTTCTATGAAAACATTTAAGTTTAATAAAAGGAACCATGATAAACATGTTTTTCCTAAATTAACTAATCAATAGCTTAAACAATTATGTGTCAAAAATTGTCAAATTTTTATAAATATTGAAATAGAAGTGAATGTTAACTAGATGTACCGGTACACTTTTGTTTGAAGTGAGGCATGCCCAAGATCAAGCAAGAGATTTTGATTATCCCCTACATTTTTATATTAAGAATTTTGATTCCCACATATATATAGGCCTAATAGTAAACATGTATTTGCGTACGATACGCTGAAATAGTTAATGTTGAAATATAAATATTAACGAGTTTAGAAACATTGTTTTGGTCCTTCGAACTCAAACAATCAAGTTAAACCGGTTGGTACAGTCGTTACTTTGAACAAATCATTTGCAGATTTCCCAATATTGTTGTTATATATGAGTAATAAGTTATAAAACCACCTTGTATCAACAATTGCTTTTAAAAACACAATTAAATCTATAACTCTTATTTTACTATCCATAACCCTAAACACTCACCCATTCCCATCCCATAAAACTCATTCCGGTCTTTCGCCACCATCCAACGGTCTTCGCTATCTCTGTTCATCCACAGTCGGTCTACGGGCACAATCACAACACTATGTCACAAGTCACAAAAACGGCGGCAAAAGTTTAGCAAAGTTCGCGGCAAACTCTGTCAGCTGTCGCACGACCGCGCTGTTCGGTGGACAGTCGCACACTGCAAGTGTCCCCGAAACATCTGTCCCCCCACCTTCGGCGACCTTCCCCTCTTCCCCCCACCCTGGACGGAATGTCACCAACCAACCAAACGTCGGGGGCGTTCTTTACTATTGTCACCGCGTCGGCTGCAAGTGCCTTACCGGCGACCGGCTTTGCCCCTCCTCTTTCTGGGAATGCTAATGACTTTGTGTGATTGAGGGACTTCAGGCGATTCTTTGCGTCAAAATTGTCTTCAATGAGCTAAGACGAGAGTATTGTATTCTATTCGCTCTTTAACTTTTACATCTTTTATAATATTCTGTCACCTGTTAATGTTATTGTAATCTAAAAGTAAATCTAATACAAGCGTTTTGTTCTCTCTGAAGTTTGTTAACGGATCATTACTGATGTCACAATAAGCCGTAGCATGAAAAAAAATAGTCAAAATCAACGTTAAAATTAAATGTTTTCTTAACTTTTCAGAGGGATTGGAAGCACATGCTTAACTTGTATAAACCTTGACATACCTTTCTTTTTATGTAACTATCTTGTTCGGATCTAAGTTGTTCACCATTTCTTAAAACCCATTTCATTAAAAGTAGTTCAAAACTTTAAATTATTAATACTTTAATACTTTTCGATGAAATGGCGACCATGCAAAGTAGGTATTTTAAGCTAAGTATGAATGGAGATGATTATATTGCCTATCTTTACTCGAGAAACCCACTTCCAAATCTATTGTGTTCAATAGCCTTGCTATTACCTAAAATCACTAGTATACATTTAGTTGTCCAAATGTTTAGTTGAAAAATTAGAGATGAAGGAAAAGAACTTTTGTACACAAGGAAAATGTAAGAGAAGACGCCAATCAACTTTTTACAGGATTCCATTTTAGATAGAGAAGAGATAGGGCACTCTGGTTTTTACAATTCTATAAGATATTGTGATTGTATACACTTGAAGGGGTTTTACATTTAAGTTGCCTTCAAAATCCCCCATTTTTGAGGACACTCAAATACATATATAAATTATACCAAAGTACCCATGAACTTTTGAGAAAACTACAAGTCACCCTCATAAACGATATAATAAAAATGTTTGTTATGACGAGAAACCTTGCTCAATGCTCAAACCTATCAATTATTTCATAAATTTCGCTTTAAGTTCATAATTCCTTACTAAAGGGAACATTCCCATATACACTACATAATGAATACCTCAGCTGTACTGATGTATTAATTTGTATGTTATTCTTTCAATGTATTACAGTACTTTATTAATATCAAGTGTGATTATTTGTTTGTATTACTGTATTCTGTTTCATATTTTTTACTCAAATTAAAGCCCGTGGGTAACAGCATTGACTATATAATATAGTCAATGGTAAAAGTTAGTTTTTTTCATAAAATTAAAATTCCTGCTAAGATTGCACGACCACCAAAAGGATCTGTATATTTACCTAGAACAATATTAGCTGGGGGGCGGGGCCTAAACTTTATTGATAGTCAAAGATATTAGTATTTCTAAAAATATATAATTCAATCTAAACATCCATTTTTGTTATTTGTATTTTATTTACTCCTAACATTGACTGTGAACTAGTAGGCTATAAATAAATAGTCAATGCTCATTCAAAAATTGCAATTAGTAATTTCCAAAAACCTTTATCCAACACGTCTGTAAAACTTTATACGATTCTCAAGTTTGTACATTTAATAATCAAATGCAAAATTTAACTTCTACAGTATATGGAAATATGTAGTCTACTTATTAGAGATGATAATAAAAAGAAATGAAATGTCAATTTGAGTGCACAGTAAATATTAATAAATTAAACTAACGTTAAAAGTACGAAGGTAATAGCCTACTAATGTGACAACCGTGATTTTATTAATATCATGTACACCGGTAGTTGTAAAATTCTATAATCCAATTAGAAGTTTTACTGTACTAATGTTAATTAAATAGTACGGCGTCCAGGTATGCAATATGGATACACCGTGTGTATATTTTGCCGTTGACGCCTGTCACATACGCTCCATCCCCACTCCACTCAATTAATTATAAGATTCATACAAGTCTTTAAGAAACGCCAAGCCGAAGCAATTATATTATTTTAACAGCTAAGCTCACAATAACCAATAGATAAATGAGCCTAATTATTTGTTTTCTTCTATGTACCAATAAAAAAAATCATGGTTAGACAAAACTTTAGCTGAATTAACGCAATCATCTTTAACCTTACTTCACAATTTTTATTTGAAATTAGCATAAAATTAGTCTATTGGTACATTTCCCTTGTAACTTTGTAATTGTGAAATATAAAAACTGACGTGACTATTCCTTATCAACAGTTGACCGTTACATTATCTTTATATGCCCAAAGTAGTCATTTCCTACCCGAATTTGTACTATCTCCAAGTTGAAATCATAACTGCCTCGTAAATTTGTTAAATAGGCTATTTAGTAACTAATGTAAATGAAAACGCTTAGTGCCACTAAACCCATATGTTTTGAGTTGTCAACATTCCATTGAGATAAGCTAGAATCTTCCATCATAGTCATCACCGTCACTTGTCAGTTATTTATATGTTGAATTATATGTTTTTATCAATAATAGCCACAGTTTGATAAGCATGAAGCGATGACGAGTAAATTATGACGAAATGCAGGGCCAAGTTGCACTTGTAGTTGAATGATTTTCAATCACTTCATTTGTTTCTCGTTTTGTCCCCGAAATGGATATTCAAGTGAATAAATGCGTATAGAAACTTTGTTGTTAAGGCTAAAAAGTGTAACACAGCTTTTGAGAAATATTTTTATAAACATAGATAATAGTGTGAATGAAAACAATTTCAGCACAAATGTTTAAGATTTAAATTATTTAAACGACAGGTTGATCGTTGAATAAACAATCTAAATATCTGTTCATTTATGAATACGTAGAAATTAATAACAGCGTTTATTCACCTAAAGAGTGTTTATCTTCAAGAGGGTTGTAATATGAGTGTTTTATAACGTTTATGTTATTAAATATTGATGAAATATTTATACAAACAATGCAATTCTTTAAACAAATATTTTCGCGATATGACAACCAACTAAGCTATATACAAGAATTTAATAAGATTGTTTTCACTCTGATGGAACAATCAAAATAAAAAGCTAAAAACAACTTCTGATGGTCACAGTAGTACGGAAACAATTTGATTGGATTTGTATTTACTTTTCTTAAGATTAACACACTTTTTACAGAACTTCGTTTTCATGCCAACTAAACACACTATACGAGTTCAAACAAAAATAATCATTGAAATAAATCAATTTGCTAGTGGCTTGAGTTATGTTCCTATACTACTTATTCAGACTGAATGAAATCTTAGATGGTTCACAGAGAAGAAAGATAGATTGTTAATACTTCCGAGACACTCTTGTTCCTATGATTAATTTGAAAATAATAAATAAACAGCTTTGTTGAAGAAGGTTGAAATAATCATGACATGCTGGAAGGATAACTTGTGACAAACTGTAATGATGTCTCCATAAACCATAATTTAGAAGATAATAAAACATAATTTATGGTACGATCGTTCTCATCAAGTGAAATAAACGGTATCAGCAAACTGACACATATTATACCCCCTTAGCTTGTGAACAACCCTTAGGTAAGCGGTTGCAGTAATCATTATATTTCATGGGAAATATCACAAATGTTGCAATAGCTTTTGAACAGTAATTCTTAATTAATTTGGAAGGGACTTGCTATTGTTTAGTGTTAAAAGATTGTAACATAATCAATTTTGATCAGAATCGTTCGCGCAGTTTTTGTGAAAATCAGAATTCTCTGTTATTTGATAGGGTTTTATGGGAAAATCATAATTCAAATAAAAATTTAAAAAATGGAAAAACGCATGGAAAATTTCTTCAAAGTCGGACTACAAGTGTGGTCGATGTCTGTAGCTGTGTGCACATACACACACACTCACACAGACATGACTTCGTAAACATCTTTTTTATGTTCAAGGTGACGTATAATTTACACCCAAATATTAAACTATTAAATTTGGAAGAAAACTATACTTTCTCCATATACCATATGCATAGGGGGAGAAATTAAATGTGGCTGCAGTTAGTCCAGGTTGACTACTCAATATCCAACGACGGCTGCACTTTAGTTTACGTCCTACACTCATTCGAATGAAAAATATCGATATATAGACTATTCGATGTATCGGTTATTTCATTTGGTTAATTAGGTTTGAACCTAACTAACCAAACAGATGAGTGTAGGACGTAAACTAAAGTGCAGCCCCAACGACAATAACAAAACCATCATTGAAGCACCCAATAACAAAATAACCGATTCCCCACTAATTTCCCCAATCACAAGTAAATAACGGGAAAGAGAAAACAGAGGCGGGTCAAACCGCGAAAACAAAGAATCCAGAAGGAAACGTCCGACGCTTATTAAAATAATAACACCTAATTACCACTACCATTGTTCCAATAATGAAACTCCAGTCGACTAATGCGACCGTCTCCTAGGTGAAAAACCCCGGGCTTAACAAAGCGTTAAATAAATTCAATTAGGACATGAGACGGGGATAATTGCGGAAGATGGCACCAGGAGCGGTGGCGTCGCTCGGGAAATAACCTAGTGGAAATAATACCGGGCGTCGCGACGCATGACGACGGGAAAGCGGGAAACTCTGGAGAAGGTTGGTCAGGGAGTGAAGAGTTGGATATTTTGATAATTGCTTAGTCCAGTCGGCAGGTAGGAAAAAGAGTTGTTGATGGAAAAAATGTCGGAAGTTAATGAAACTTGGGGATGTTGTTCAGTGATAATAAATCAACATTTTCCCAAGTTTTTGACCTCGAGGACCCTGTGGAAAAATGAGGGGGGGGACTTCAAAATTTTCATATTTCTTTTGCTTTTATCTCAATAACTTCCCCTTACTTCCTACCGAAAGGGCATACCTTACACTTTTATAGAGCGTTAAA